TCTCAAGACTAGGGGACATTTCAGATTGATAGCAAAGCTCAGGCTGGCTCTTGTCTGCAGTTTGGAATGCAGAGTAGTTGCAATAGAAAACTAATACAGTGTTCACCTCATTCACTGATTATTTCTGCTGTAGTAATAGAGCTCCCTGACACTTCCGCAAGGGTTCTAGTTTACTGCATTTTGCTAACTGCACCAGCCCTGGTCTCTCATAATGGAGAGTGGAGGTGATGGTTGTGGTTAAAGGGCTGAAATGTTATGACTGGTAAAGTAGAAACAACATAGGAATAAATTTTAATTGGTCTTAAAACATCGTCCACCTCTGAAATCCTCTTGGTGTTCCTATTGCACTGAAGAAGCCCCAAAATGAGAGAGACTCCAGAAGTCATAATGCAGCCCAGGCTCTAGTTTCTGTAATATCTCAATTGAAGCAGGAAGCATAACAGGAGCTCAGAGAAAAAAGCTTAAGAAAAAGCGTTTTCTAATGTGGCCCTGTTGAGCACACATTGGTGTTTCTCCTCGCTCCACCTCAAAAGCTACACTACCAGCATGAGTTTGAATAGGGTGTTACACATGTCATTATGCAGCTAACCAAATGGTCACAGTTTACCTTTTTGTTAAGTTGTTATGCAAAGTTGCCAGAGTGCTGCCTTCTGTTGAAGTTTCTTGGGTTACTATTTTGCCATCCTGCTGTCCTCCACTGTTGTGTGCTTGGGCTGCAGTCTCTTCCCATGGAAAAGTTTGATGAGTATTATTGTCCTTCCAATAGCAGGGGGAGATTTTTCGAGAATGAGAAGAGTAGAGCAGTAAGAACATCTGAACGCTACTGACTGCAAAGCACAGGCATCCTTTCAGAGAAGCAAGCACTTCATGGTCCAGCCCAGAGTGAGAGCTTGAACTGTGAGGAGAGCTCTCCTCCATTTCTCTCTTTTTACACCTCTCAGCAATTTCACCAGACAAAAGATGGTGAAACAAACTTAATGGCAGAATAGGCTGCAGAATTTGCATGCTCAAGGGAAGGCCTGCGGGAGGTAGTGGCTGCAAAGCCTGAAGACTTGCTAAAACTGCTAACATCCACTCCATTGTTTATCTAGCCTCACATATAGACAATTACACCAACAATAGCAGCAGTAGGCAGTACTTTTTTGTGATGGTACTGCCCGGTACGTAGTACTGGCACCTCCAGATGCAGTACCGTCAGCTCCAGTCAGAGCTCAACAACTTTTCCCCTGGAGTACTGGCACCTTTTTTTTTCCTTTTAACACAAAACAAAGCACTAGCAGTAGCATATATGAATTCCTCCTGCTTATAGCCCTTTGACTTAGCTGTGAGCTTCAGTGAGATAGTGACCACTGAAGTATACATCAGGAGCTGCTTCAGCAATATTCTCCCCCTAAACCATATTATAGAGCCTATGCTGTTTCTCATTTACAGTGGAGTCCGGATTAACCGACACCCGGTAATCCAACACTCCACTTTATCCAATCCTGAAGCACCCAGGGACTTTGCTGCCCTGTCACTCTCTAGGAGAAGCTGCTGCCGGGACACTTCCAGGCAGGAGCAGTAGCTGCTCCTAGAGAGCAACGGAACAGCTGATGCTGCTCTGTGGGGACTTTGTCCCTGGCAGGAGCGGCATCAGCTGTTCCATTGCTCTCTACGGTAGAGTCTGTATCATCCGGCATATTTGGTAATCCGACCATGTGTCATTCCCGTTTAGGTTGGATGATAGGGACTCTACTGTATTTCACACATGGGTTATGAGAAGTTTGTTATGAACCAATCTTCATACCCTACCCAAAAAATAGGGTTGCCAGGTGTCCAGCATTGACCTGGACAGTCTGGTATTTTCACCTCTTGTCCAGTAAAAAAAATTCAGAAAATACTGGACACCTAAAATGTCCGGTATTTTCTGATTTTTTTTCCCCCAGCCAGGAGGTGAAAATACCAGACTGTCCAGGTCTACACCAGACACCTGGCAACCCTACACACACACAGCAACTGGGCCTAGTCCCCTCAACCCTCGCTTACCTGGTTTTGCAGGGTGCGGTCTGGCCTGGAGCAGGGAGACAAGATGGCTGCCGGCGGAACCCAGCCTTTGCTTAGCTCTCAAGGTCCTTTTTTTGTTTTTGCTCAACAACTTCCCCCAATAGAATTTTTTTCCTGGTGTTTGTGGGAGGAGGAGGGTGTTCGGTATTTTTGGTTAAAGCATCTGGAAACCCTACCAAAAAGGTTTGCCTAGAATTTTTCTCCTCCACACATAATATACTGGGTTGTATTGTATTCTGCAATACAAAAATGCAGTTTCATTTTGTAGAGTATATTTGAAATATTTCAAAACAATTTAAGGTTATCAAAGGATTTTTACATTCTTTAATATTGCTGCATAATCCTGGGGAAGGCTGAAGTTTCCTGCATTATTTAGGTCTAATGTGCCTAGGTGTACAAAGGGCCTGGTCTTAAAAATGAAGATTAAAACTATGCTGCCCATTACAATTACTCATAGTTCAACCATAAACACAATAACGTGTTTGTTTAGCATGCTGCAACAGAGGGTTTATTCAGCTCATTTTGAAAATATTTGCAAATGAAATTTATTTTGCCAACTCACAGACATAAGCTTTAAAGTATAGGCTGTATATAAACTCAAATACAGGTAATACTTTTTATAACAATAACTTACAGATACAAACTAATGATAAACTACAATTTCACAAAGAATTGTAAACATTTTGCACAATTTCAGTCCTTTCTTTTAGGCAAAGTGCTCTTGATGACAAATAAATTAACAAATACATAACTAGAGTAGACTACTTCCAGACAATACAAAAAAGGTGTTTAATAAGTCTTGTAAACAACATATAGTTATTTATGCAGAATCCATAAAAGTGTCTTGCAGGCCAACTATACTTACATACTTGGGCAGCAAAATGGTCTTGAAAATGCTTTGGGTGTTAAATAAAAAATTAACATTAATATCTTTTCAACGATATTTTAATACACAATAAATGACTCTTAAGAGTACATCCTTAATAGCTTTTATCCCTGAAAGAAAGGAATTAGGTGTGACTTATTGGCAGTTGTGTCATGGAATGGGGTAGCAAGGGCTGCAGTCCAAGAGCTGTAGGTGAATGAGCTACAAAAATAAAAAAGATTAATTGGTCAACTGCATCGAAAGCAGACAACATTGCAAGCTAGTAAAAAACCCTATATAAGGATGGCTGGGACACAAGTGATCTGTACTAATTTCACCAGCTTTGTCAAGAGCTCTTCTCTAGCTCACTGGTTCTCAATCTTTCCAAAATACTGTACCCTTTCATGAGCCTGATGTGTCTCCCATACATACACCAGGTTTCATCTTCCTTAAAAGCTACTTATTTAGAAAAAAATCAGACAAAAATTCGAAAGTGTCACAGCGCGCCTTAACTGAAGATGTGCTAACTCTCTCATTTCTACCATAGTTATAATTTTATTTACCTTTCAGTATGATATTTGAACCTATTTCACTTACAAGCATTGTCTGAAGCCAAACCTTTGCTGCCTGGGGCTGAACATGTAACGTAGATTTGCAGGGCCAGGACAGTTACCCTGGTGTCACCTGAGAATGCTAACCCTGCACTTGCAACCCCCTAAACCCATCCCATGGTCTCTCCATGGGCTGCAACCCCTCACCTTGAAAACACTTATCTGGTGAGTACCGATTAGTACTCCCAAGGGTGCATGTATCATTGGTGAGAGCCATTGCTCTAGTGCAGTTACAGGATCCTAGCCAGTAAATGGCATTACAGTTGTTTCCAGCTTCTTCATTCTGGGTCACAAGCTGTTAATGTCATTTCCATCCATGCCCTATTCATGCATTTTATCCTGCAGCTCAGGAAGAAAGCAGACTGACCCTATCTGTGCACAAATGCAGCCAATATCAGGAAATTTGGTTACATTACAATTGTTCCCTAACTTAACTATAAACATGGTTCAAATATGTGTTGACTTGGGTGTGGTGTTGAAACAGCTGAAATCCAAACTACACTACAAACTGGAACTAGATTTTAGGATGGCTTACAGGCATCTGTGTAGTAGTCAGATTCTTCTGCATGTGGAGAGAGCCTTAGTCTGCAATGAAGTTGCCAAGTGTGCCACTAATTTCTAGTACTCTCTCCAAGTCTTCAAATACAAACCCCAAACTAAACTGAAAATAGGATGTCTAAAAATCCTGATTTGGAAAATAAAATGTTTAAAGCAAACACTTTTTAATTTAATATCAACTACAAATGAGCAATAATTCTATTGTAAAATAAACAGCAAAAAAAAAAAAAAAAACCAAGAGGGTTTAATCAAGAGGGCATCACCAGCATTATGTAGAAAGTACCCAGTGCTGATCTTTATATCCAAATCTCAGCTATGCTAATACAACAAAAGCAACTGCTATAGCACTAGGTAACAGGTGTTAAAAGATGTTAGAGTCCTGGAAGTGAGAATTGATAGACAGATTTCTTTAGTATATAGTATATTATTATTTGTTACCTGATCAATCTTCTTGCTTCAGCTAAAGAAAGCATTGGCATTTTGTAGTTAGATCTGAAGAGTTACTGTACCTACCATCCATGTAACTATGTAGAGCAGTTAACATTGTCCCATCTTGGGGTACATATGCTGAGTATGCCATTTCTTCTAACATTGGTGGAGACAGCCGAGAGGGCTGAACTGCTGTGACAGGAGCAGTGGATGAATGATTAGGACTAACATGTTTCTTATGGCGTGCTCTACAGTTTTGAAACCACACCTGAAAAGGAAGAAAATGTCAATCATGTTGGTTGATTGTATTTAATTTTGACAGTTGATTTAATAAAAATCCTTAAGTTTATAAAAAAAATGGTCTGGTAGCACTTTATAGACTAACAAAACATGTAGATGGTAGTTTTTTAGATCAGATGTTTAGAACATTCTAAAAAACTCCGGTCATCTGAAGTGGGCTGTGCCCATGAAAGCTCATGATACCATCTACATGTTTTGTTAGTCTATAGAGTGCTACTAGACCACTTTTTTTTCCTATACAGACTAACTCTGCTACCCCTGAAGTTCTTTAAGTTTGTAGTTCAGCTGAAGCTGAATTCAGCATCAAGACCACAGAGCACATGGAACCGTGACTAGATCACCATTACATTGCTGACAAGAACGCTAAAATATCCTTAATAGGCCAGGTTGGGTTTTTAAAGAGTAATTTAGCCTTTTTTTAAAAAAGTTGTAACCCTTTGGCTGCCTTCTATAACCTCTGCCTATTCTTATAGAAATAGTGTGTGAGGTTTTGGCTCAGGACCCATTTCTAGGTAGATATGATGTCCTTTAAATCTTAGTTCATGTTAGAGCTGCTGCAATACAGTGCACAGAGTAAATGCAATTAAATCTTGCTGAAAAATTAAATCAGTAAGTTCCATTTTTGTCTAGTAAATGTTGTTTCAACAATGTTTTCATTGAAGAGAATTTTAATAAGACTCATTTAGATATCTACATAATGTAATCTCCCAAAGTACATAATGAAAAAAATGTATATTATTCATCTAAAAATATGGATCTAAACAATCTCTTTGAAGGTTTTGATCTGAAATTATGTTTAAAATGACCAGGTTAGATTTCTTTCCAACTGAGAAATTAGCAATTTTTCTTCTTCCAGTATTAACTCAGACTTAGTGTTTGTGAAATAGAATACAATCACCTGTATCACACGCCTGCTCAAGCCGGTTCTTTCTGCCAATTTTTGGAGTGTTTGTGCATCTGGATTGTTGTCTTGAGCAAACTGTGCTTGCATAACCTGAAAAGGTAAGAGATTGGTTTTTTTTTAAATGTTAAGTGTTGTAAGTGCTGGCAAAGCAGTTATTTATTACAGGTTTCTCTCAAGTTTATGGTCATATCCCATATCAATATAAGGGAATAAAATACCAAAGCATGTTGTCCCAGTTTATCTTTGTAAAATCAATATCTTCAGAGATAGCCCTTTGAGTAATAAAATGGCCACTTAGAATTTGGCCACTTAGAATTGGCAGACACGTTGTTCTTTGTTCTGGTTAGCACTAGTCAGTAGGGGAAAGTAGTACAGTTATGACTGTACTAGAGGTGGATTATGGCAAAGAATTCACTGAAGAGTAATTTAAGTATTGTTGCTAGATAGACTGCCTAAACTGTAGGCCATTTAATACATAATATGGACACAGAATGAACTTTCAATGACTGACAGGTTCAAAAAGACCAATCAGTCAATATAGGTCATGTATTCTAAAGAGGATCCCTACTTAATCCTTTTGCTGCTTCCCTGAAATCTGTATATAATTTAGAAGTGCTGTGTTTGCCCCAAGTTTACCTTTAATCCATCTCAGAATAGCACACAGGCTGCATATAACAGACCTCCTCTTGGCTCTCTCACTAACAACATCAGACATAGCTCAGCACAGGGTTATGGTGGTAAGATGCAATATTTTGACAACTGAAAACCTGATTACTTGTCAGGTTTAAAAATAATGAAAGGCATCTTTGGTAAATGATGATGTCACATTAACTTGTGTCTTGATTAAGTTCTAATTTTCCATAAGTTCCTTGTATAGCTTCAACTGGAAAAAAAATGTTCACTTCCTGTCCTAAACTGGCATTATTGAGCAATTTCTGTATTTTGCCTTTGGAGAATGACTTCATGTGGGTAGCTGGCAAACTACATATGCTCAAACTATACAGTTTGTGAAGTACTTGGGAGTGTCTTCATTTGAAAGGTACTGTTATAAAGGACCACGTGAGAATAGAGAGAGCATTTTCCTTATCTAACAAAAAAACTGTATGGCCCTTTGCTGGTGGTTCTGTAGCCATGTTAAGGAAAATCTAAATTCGCTTACTTTTGGACTGTGGTGACTGATGATGCATTTGCCATGTATGTGTTTGCAAACTTTTTCATACTCTGGACCAAACATGGGATGGGTTTCCTAGACCACTTCCTCACATTTCAAGTTTCATAGACTAACCTCTTCTATTGATAACACTGCAGAATTCCAGGGGCAACTACAGCAATTGCTTCCATTGAGAATCATGGTACAAAAGAAGCCCACGAGGGATTTATCTTTTTTGGAGGTGGGTTAATTGTGCTCCCCCATTTTGATATTAATTTACTATCCCCTTTCCTGGGTTTGGTTGGCTGGAAACAGTGAGAAGAGTTCACACCCTGTTACGATCCTGCTCTCCATGGATGACAATTTGTAAAATGGTGTAAATGGGTGTGGTACTGCTAGATGACATTTTGTTTCCTATGTGGAAGGGACAGTTGCAAGTTAGATACAATGTAAACTAGAGGCTACTCTTCTTAGCTGTCCAGTTCACATAAGCAGCTCGTCGACATCTTGTGGAAGCGAATCCAAAGCAGAAATGGTTTAATCAAGATTTAGGACAGCCTTAGAAACAGAATCACCTCTTCACTAATACATAGCCCTCACGAATACCATCTTGACTTTATTCTCCAGTCAAACACTTTAGATATAGATAACAATCCACTCCATTTGAGCCACATCAGCATTTAGATTTGTCAATGAGTTCGAGTATGGACAACAAGACTGCCCAGGGACTTTATCGATAAAGTGCTTTGTTTTATACATTATCTTTTAAATTGGTTGTGGAGCTAAATGATTTTTTCCATTGGATATTACCATGTATTAGTCAATTTTCAGATTCCCTATAACAATTCATCTATCCCTCTAGGGTTTCATAAAGTGAAACTATAAACCTGAATCTATTCCATAATTTGTCTTCCCCCATTTACAGAGCTAATATTTTACATCAGTATCTAATCTTCTAGTTTGTCTTAAATAGAAGCCCATTCTATCACTCAGTTTTATATGGAAAAAAATGATAGTTTCTTACTTGTTAATTGGGTTCTCCATGTCCCAATATGCCAGCCCATATTGTGGGTATAAGTCCTCCTACCAGCAGATGGAAAGAGGAAAAAAGTAAAGCTCTTGTGAAGTCAAAGTTTGTAAAGTGCTTTGAATAACAGAGCACTACATAAGAGTCAATTACTAAGTTATAAAGGCAGTTAAGCTGGATGAACCTCTTCAGACTTCCTGAGCATCAAAAAAAAAAAAATCTATTCTGTTCATATTAAAGCTCCATAAAAAAGTTAAAGGGGGAAATTAGTCCCACTGTCACCAACACAAGAGTGACAGGGTGAGATGCCTAGGCTGATCAAGAATACTACCTCTGAATGTTCTGCCTATTGAGTGTGAATTTGAAAAGCACCTTCTAGTTCTCAAACAGGTGTGTGGTGGGTACCAGAGAAGAACAGATGGATGGATTACAACATGTATAAGCCTCAACTTCCATAAATGCATCTCAAGAAGCTTCGCACATCAGGTCTCTTTAAAGACACAAAAAGCTACGTGATACACATCCACATAGTCACTTTACATATTTCTCCAAGAGAAACATTCTCCATTCCCTCAACCTCCACTTGTCAAATTATTCTGAGTAGGAGCCAAGGCTATCTATACCTGCCAGCATATGCTGCTTCAATGCAGTTTTAAAAATCAAAGGTAGTGATTATTAGAAGCTGTTCTTGGTGCATTCATGAAGGATCTGACTTTCTAATTTAGAGTTTTCTTTCAATTTAAATAGAAAAAAAGCCTTCATATACGTGATATAAAGAAAATACTGCATGTGTTATTTCATGGCTCCAGAGAAAAGCTTTCTGACCCACAAGGAAAAACAAAGAAGAGCCACAATTTGAGCCCTAGATCAAAATATTGTAACTAAGAAAGAGATGCCAATTTGAAAATAAGTAACTCCAGAAATCAAGGACAGTGTTAAATTTAGAAAATGTAATCTTCTAAAAGGCTCTGCCTAGCAAGGTTAAGTATAAAAGTATGCTCAAATTGAACTGGACAGCAAAAATAATTCATTCCTAAATCTAATGGGCCCAGAAACCTGAAGAACATTCTTCTCAATCATCCTGAGAAACTAGGATACCGTCCGTTTAACCCGAGAGGGGGCTTAAATGTTTCATTTGCGGCAATTCCAGAGGAGCACTGATTAGCACAATTTCTGTTCCCTTGGTGGGTTCTGGCTCCAGCTCAGCTTTGGATTTCAGAATCACAGAACTATGGATAGCAGCAAGGGAAAGGAAATTTCTCTTTGCCTAGAACAAGAGTCCTCAAGTACAAGATACTTCTTTGTGCCCTCCTCCCCTGAATTGCTGATATACACATATTGCACTTCTGTTTAAAGTATCTTCGCCTATTCCTTCCCTTTGATTTGCAGCAGAAATGGCAAACTGGGTTTCCGACAGTGAACTAAGAGACCAATCTCCACCTAGAGCCAGTAGCCACATTACTACGTTATGGCTGAAGTGCTTCGTGCACATTACTTCCACCCTGTTGGGCCACTATAGAGACAACTCTTAATGAATACTCTTTTTATATCTGCTAAGGAAGGACGATAGGCTGACCAGACATTGCTCAGATTGAGGCAGCAGAGAAGTCAAATTTAAGAGTGGCTGCATGTAAAAGCTTGCAGAGTACACTCTAGCGGGCTATTTCTTTAGAGAGTCCAACACCAATAAGAACACACTAGACCATAAAAATAAAGCATTGGTTAAGGAACTAAATAGTATCTTCAGTTTTATAGCTTGAGTCTGCAAAAGAAATATTTTGCTGACTTGAGTACCAGGCATGACTAAGACACAAATTCCTGAGATTGAAAAAAAGTCTCAATCATTTGCCTCAATTTGTCACCCAGACAAGACTGAATCCTACTCTCTTGCCAGACACACACATATGCTGCTGATTCTACCTGCAGCAATCCATCCTTCAGGTCAGGGAGGACAGAATGTTCCTCCTCCCAGAGAGCCACAATAAGGACTACTATTGTGTCTTGGTGATTCTGGTATTCACTACAGAGGACAGGGCCCTACACGGTCAGTGCCAACCAGAGTGAAAAATGGAAAACTGTGTTACACCATTAAATGGGGATGTGCACAAATATGAAATGGGACACAAAAAGAGATGCCACCTTCATAATCTGCAGGAGCTGGAATCTGTATCTATTCCTTCTGTTGCCCCTTTAATGATGGGGCTGACATTGGTCATAGATTTTATCTTGAGAAGGCTAAAAATCAGATTCTTCCTCCAAGGTCAAATGATCTGAATTATTCCATGACTGAAAAACTATTTCTTTTCATGGGGGATAGTGCCCAGTGAGCAACTTCACATCAGAGACAAGGTCCAAGGCTGCAAATCTTACTAGGTCATAGCCAAGGGAGTTGACAATGTAAGAGGAAGCCCTAGTGACATAGGAGATTCAGCCAGCCAGACCCCTTTAGCGCAGACTTGACCTCACAAGAGTTTTGATTCATCACTCCCACAACACACAGTCTCCCATGTGTTCATCATAAGCAGTATATCCACTGACTGAGCTGGTATAGAGGGATGTTGGAAAGCGTTTCATACCATATAGTATGTCCAAACCAAAGGAGCAAATTGTGGTAGTAATAGTCTCATGCTGCTTAATTTTCAAATACACTCCTTCAGAGTTTAGCTTTGTCTGTACCCCACCATCTCTATGAAAAAAATGTTTTTGCCCTGAAACAAGTAGAGGTGAGTACTGAAACAAAGATCCGAGAAAATAAGCCAACATCTCACCCTTAAATATAGAGGAGAATGTGCTTTAATAGAGTCGAAATCTGAATGTTTTGGAACAGAGGAGGAGGAGGAGAAGGAAGGAATCATCATTTAACAGTCTTCATTAATACTTGTTTGATAGGTCATTCACATATTTACGATCTTCATAGTTAAGCATAACACAGAGAGATTAGTCCTTCCTCCATGAAAGACAAATTCCAAAAGAAAGTAGTTCAGTTATTCCACCTCTCTCACCATATAAAATAAGGGTTAATTTTACTGGAGCCAACCTGTGAGTTCCTATTTACTATGTTCACATCAGAGTACTTTCCAGTTTTGAGGACACAGTCATGATGGTGATTAAAAAGCTGATTGGGGTGGAATAATGAAATCAAACTTCACCACACTGGTATCCTGAGAAATCATATGAAGTACATTTCCCTTTGTATTTTTTTTTTTATAATACATAGCTCTGAAGATATTTTTTCTTTCATTATTCATAGGGATGTCTGTTTGATTAAATGGATTTCATCAAGCAGTCCTAATAGATCAACATTTTGGCTTCCACTTTGCAGAATTCCTAACTGCCCTGAGGGAAAGAAAAAGCTAGCAGAGTAACTATTTCATATTAAACTACTAAAGCTAACAAATTATTCCAGAAACATGTTTTGTCTTAATCATTTGTTAAATAAATAGTTTAGAACACCAGAAAATAGATCATATATAACATACATACGACTAAAATCTTCATGCAATTCTAAACTGTCAGTTTTCAGTGCTCACAATGCTGCTTCTAACCTGGAGTTGATCCGCTGTGAAGCTGGTCCGAGCTCTTTTTGCTGGTTTTGGATGATTGACATCTTGTTCTGTAAGTAATGCTCCTTCCACACTAATCCCATTCCCTGATATGGAAAAGAAAATCTATATATTGATGATTCAGAGTAATATTAGTCATGAGTCTCACTATTCTGAAATAGATTTTTAATGTTTATTGGCTGGGTATTATGGAATAGTACATTGGGCCCTGATTTATTCAATATTACTTTGGTATTAATTTGGAGTCATTTCACTGATATCCAGATTTCACTGAAATAAGGGAGAGCAAGATTTGGTCAAGCATTACGTTTGCAAAGTTGCAGACCAACTGGATAAGCTAGACATGTTTTACTTTTCAGAAATATAGAAAGGGAGTTGAACATATGAGAGTAAGTGTAAACATATTGTGTAGTTTGAACATTACTTGAGTTAAATACATGTGCCTCTTGCTTAATAAAGCTAGATACATTTTTTATATAAAGGGTGATGAAATAAAAGCAGCAAATCTAGTTAAAGCTAAATGACAGTCAAACTAGGAATTTAATAACAAAAGCACCATATTACCATTTTCAACTTCTCTTTTTAGATTGTCCAACATGCAATCATAATGTACTCTACAAAGGACTTTCTCTTCAACCAAAGCAAACTCCTCTCCAGTGGAAAGCTGCCTTTTGCAGGAAAAGCAGGCAAAACATGCTAGGTGATACACATTTCCCTTGGCCCTTCGGACCCAGTCAGTAGAATGGATGTGCCTACCACAACGAGAACAACGGGTTCCATACCGCCTGCAACAAAGAAAAGAAAACAAAAGACTGTCAAAAGAAGCTAGTCATCTAAAACATGACTATCAAGCTAGCAATATTAGTGACAATTTGATGGGGAAACAGTCCATGAGATTCATGGTAAGTGCACTCACAATCAGCATTGTTTAGATGACTGTAGAATTTGTGTTTTTCTGGAGAAATTTTTAAAAAGTTTCTATCGGGTTGTTGTTAAAATAGGGCTACAGCCCTATTACAAGTTTGACACTTTCCTTAAGGCAGAGGGCAAAATGTAATTCACAGTCAACTATTATTCAGTTCTAGGACCTCCCAGTTATTCAAACATATTTCATATTGCCTAAATTATTTGGGTAGACTTAATTCTATTATAGTTCTTCAAATTCTAACTGAAATTTAAAATAGAAAATATATCTATAGGGGAAAAATTAAATTCCAGGGAATAACTAGAGGGAAAGTACAGCATCTAGTTTTGTTATCTTTAGAAGAACTTCAAGTATCAAACATATCTAGATTACAGAGATAATATATTTTCCCATCAGAATCTGACTATTTTAAAGAGGAAGATGACTACAATATATCTATTATAAACATGGATCCTTATTTTTTAGAATCATGTGACATCTCTTCCAAAATGAATGCTTAAACTTCAGCTCCAAGAAATCTAAACTAGTCTAGTTTATCAAAAGGACTAAGCACTCATCAGTATATTTTGAATTACTATTCAGTTTAAATTAATCTTTCAATATTAAAGCTGTCATCAGATGAATGTTTACTTCATGGTTGAATATTCCCTACCTGCTTTTGACTTGAGGTGAAATCTTAGCTGCACTGAAGTCAATGGCAAAGCGCCCGTTGACTAAAAAAGGCATCAGAACTTCACTCCAGATCTTGTCAAGTGCAAATTCCTCTCAATTCCCTTTGAAGCCAGTACAAGTTTTCCCTATCTCACAGGACCATACCTTAATCTGGCAGTGAATGACACACTTGCAAAATCACCTGCTTGCAATAATTACAATGTGCTGATTTACAACATGCTGCTTACAAGTTGCATGGAGATTTTTTTAAATTATATTTTACTGTTTAGTAAGACTTTTCTGTAGTGCCCTACGGGTCATTGCTTGTGTTATAAGGAATTATATCCACTTTTGTTTGGACTAGAACATCACAGTTCTACTTTGTAGTATTGATCCAGCACTATTGAAAGAAAGTATTAATCTGACGATTTTACAGTCTATATTGTAGCAGGGGCCTTTGCTTCTATTGTGGATTTAATTGCCTCATGGGCCTCAACAGTAATAGAGAGGTAGCTGTGTTAGTCTGATCTTGCTAAAACAAAAGGAAAAACTATGTAGCACTTTAAAGACTAACAAGATGGTTTAATAGGTGATGAGCTTTCGTGGGCCAGACCCACTTCCTCCGATCATATTCTGGAAGAGAATTAGCATGACCATAGATACCAAAGGAATACAATGAAAAAAGTGAACACATTATTAAACTGACAAATCAGATTTATTACAGAAGGTGGAGTGAGGGAGAGGGAGGGAGGGAATAGCCTCAATGAGGGATATTTTGCATAAATGCTGTAGTTATATACAACATGGCACATTATATAAATGTAATTAATATATTACAAACTATTATGATGTATTTATTTAAACTGCTCAAGGTCTCCCCAATACCTTCTAAAGAAAATTGAGACACTGGGACATAGTGACTACTGAAAATTGTGAAGATGAAAGACAACCTAAATACCAGTCTGAGTGTATGTCTAGGTGTTACTCACTTGTCACCTCAAAAAAAATGAACTGACGAGTTTTATGTTATACCTGAAATAATCAAGCTTGCAGAAGATATCTTTATCTTTGATGTAGCAACTAGTATGTCTTCCTAGAGACGTTCTGCAAACACTGCATGAGAGACAGCGTACATGCCAGCAGAGATCATTTACCTATGAAAGGGAGAAGACAACAGTCTGGTAGTATTTTTAATTCATGTCAATAGCAAGGCAAAAGTCCATATTTTGCCATATGCATCACAGATTATCAGAATATACCATACACAAAAGGGTTTTTTTAAGGCAACACAGTAGGATTTTATAAATTACTGTTCCAAATTTCATCCAAGTGTAGTTCTTAATTGACTTAAAGTTAGAAATCCTCAGTACAAGCATCTGTGGTTTTGTGTTTAAGGCAGGATAATGGGAAGTAGGGGATCTGGGTTCTGTTCTTGGCGCCAACACTGACTTCTTGCGCCTAGTTCTGCTCTCACACTTTGAGTAATAAAGCAGAATTTGGCCTCAAGTGACTGTGGAAGTCATCTGACCTCTGTTTCCCTATCTGCAAAAAGATCTGCTTAACAGAAAGCGCTAAATTCAATTGATATGAAAAGAGCTTTGAGATTTAAGTACCTGGAATGTTGCCACAAATTACGTCTTAACTTTGTTTTACCAATTGTGTCTACACTCTTATAATTAGTTATGGGCTGCAACTGTCAAAGCAATTTAGGTCTTAAATCCCCCAGCTTTGAAATATCAACCATTGTTTCAGATGCAAAAATCTATAATGCTGTTTCACTTAGGTCTGGTCTACACCTAAAACTTAGGTTGACGTACTCAGTAAAAAGTTTCATGTGCTGTGTGATGTGGTTAAGTTGACCTTTCTCCTACCCTATCCCTCACCTGCCCCACAGCTGAGTTGACTGAAGAATTCTACAGTGATAGAATAACCCCTTTTGTTGCTGTAGCAAGCATACACACTATAGTGCTGCTGCAGCACCTGTGTGTAGACATAACCCACTATTCACTTTCTCTGATTAAGGGTATCAGCAGTTCTCAAAAGTTGTGCAATTTTAAAAATCAATAGTCTATGTAGTGTTTTCTCCATAAGAGCTGTCCATCTATAATATCAGTACTGTCCATTTCAATTATTTGATAAAATGCAGAACAGTTTTTTTTTTTTAATATTGGTCTAATTTTTCCTGGCAAATATTAAATGAATCTGGCCAGGAACCAAATACTGAATATGATCAAGTAAAAACATTATGGATCATCCAACATTTTAATGAAAGTGGAAACCAAGCCAACTAGTTCAGAAATAACGAGTAGTCATGTAGCACCTTAGAGACCAATATATATAACATGAACTGTTGTGGGCAAAACCTACTTCTGCAGATGAACTGGAAGCTGGATATGAAGAAGTAGGTTTTGCCTATGAAAGCTCATGATACTATGAATATTTTGTTAGTCCCTAAGGTGCTACGGGACTACTCGTTTTTAAAGTTACAGACTAACATGTTTACTCCTGAGACTTTTTGAACATTTCTGAACTAATCTTAGATACCTTATACCATGAGATCTTCAAAATCTGTGTACTGCATGCAGGAGAACAGCAGATTTAATATCAGTGGTATTGTGTCTTTAGTCAAATATCAGAATAATGCCATAGGAGCCATAGTTTACTTATAACAATAACTTTCAAAATATATGTATGCATATGAAGGCTGTTTTGAGGAGAAATAAACTTCTGCCTTAGTATATTAAAATTTAATGTTGCCTGAATATTGTCTCCCTCAATATAATCATGTTGGCAGCAGTCGTTATTAAAACAGAGACAAAACAAATGGACAGATCAGCACATCACAGTGTACTGCTGATCTATACCTCTGAATATCCTTGTCAATGGTAAGAAACTGCCTTGTTGATAATAGTTGTCAGCAATTGATCCTCACAAGTCATGTTGAAAATGGCTATATTGCTAGTGGAGGCGGGACAAAAGCATTTGGACTGAACCAAATCTCAGTAGCTCTAGTCTAGGGAGAGAGGCTGTGGTATCATAATTTTCTAAGTATTTCCCACTATTGCCAAGAGTGTTTTTTGCATCACTAGTGTTAGCAAACCCTAGTGTCGATGAGCTTCTGGTGTTAAAGCCCCGTCAAATGAAATGGCTCAGAACCATTTTAATTGGAATGATGCTTAAAATGCCAGCAATGGCCCATTTATTATAGGGTCCTTAATGCTGCTAGCATCCTCCTGTAGAAAAAAGGCATGACACACACTTTATACTGGGGACATTTAATATTGTTCCATCTACACTCTTATTTAATCACATACTGAACATTGGCTTAAGTGACCCAGTGGTGACAATCACCATCAACCATGTCTCAAATTCTTAGTGTAGCTAGGAATAGAAAGAGTCAGATATCTGAGTAGCATGAGCACAAGATATTTATATTATTTAAACCATCTCTTGCTTAAGTGGTACAGACTTCATACTTGCATCTGTATTCCAGCTTATACCTAAATTACAAATTCTGTAGTTTTCAGGGAGGAAAAACTGATCAGTGTTTAAGTGATTTATGCAGACCATGATAAATAGTCACTTGGATTCAGAGTTAGTAAACATGGATTCTAATCCCAATCCCACCATACTCTAGTCATTTGAGAACACTGACTATTACCAAGAAAGTCTCAAGAAGAAGGGAGATCTCCTAGAAGGAAAGGCAACGTTAAAATCTTTTCCAGCTACTTTCCTGTCTATCTAACCCATCCTTGAATACTAAAATAGCGTAAATATACGTCTCTTACCTTTACCCCTCCAATCCTCAAGACAATATTTGAATCGAAAAGGAAAACAGAAAAGTATGGAGAAAGGGAAGTAATTGAAAATGCCTTTAGTACTGCTACCTGTTCTGACAGTATAGTAAGAGTGTTAGGTAAGTCATTTATTTATGAAGCCAAGTGATTAAGTGACTTTAAAAATAATCAGAGGCAAAGTGTCTAGCCTCATGATGGTGGGAAAAAGCTGGAAAGCCTGATCGGAATGCACCCAGAAGCTGCTACCCCAGCAAAGGCTCTAATCCAGACAGTAAATGAAAAACTAATAACTTTATTTTAAAAAACTTGTGTTTTTTCATATTAGCATCTGGATTTTTTTAATGTCTGACACTTGATTTTTCAACACTTGAGATTGCACTGGAGCAATATTACCAATGTAGCACCTTCTCTCACTGCAAAAGCTAGTAAGCCATCCACATCAGGGATAACTTATTTCTATAGCTGGCGAACTGTTCTGAAGACCAAAGTGTGTGAAATGTCTCATTAGCTACTTACAATGCAACTGTCATTACACAGAACAGGAAAAAAGAAACTGTCCATTGCCTGAGCAACTTACCAGTTTATTTTTAAAGAAAGTGTTTCCTGAGGCAACAATTCCCAAAATGCTTACTTCTAAAACTCTCTCAAACTAGCATCAGCTGTTTGCCTTTCAACTAAAGCCCCCACTTCCTGTGAACACTTACTCATGTGCTTGAATTTACACATGGGAGTAGTCCCATTGGCCGCAATGAAACTGCTCTCTCATGTAATGGTAAAGAGCATGTACATCAGCAAGATCAGGGACAAAGATAGGAAAATAAAGCATCTGCCAGTATTTTTGGAAGTGGATGAAGAAGAACTGTATAGACTGTAGCAAGGATGAGACAAATTTCATTATGGAGAATTAAGTCATCCACAATGCAGACAGACTATACAGAACTTCTATATCTGTGCAGTTCCTCGATCCAATTCACTCCGGCTTCAGGGCCCACTGTGAGCAGCTAACACATTTTTAAGACTTTTCAAACCTGTTTATACTGTGTACTCCCACACTTTTAATAAATACTTTTACTAAACACCCTTTGTTCTAGACAAAGCCTAAGTTGTGGGCAGAGATCACTGATAGTGTGCTATTTTAGTTTATGAACATGCAGGTTAAACTATGAAGTTCAGACCATTGGTTTTCTCTTGAACAAATGATATTCAAACTCAGGTTAGGTCTGGTGATTTGTACCACATTTCCCACGTCATTCATCACTACACAGCACACAAATATTAAATAAGAGACTACTGTACTTTACATAACCCAGTGGCACTATTAAGGAACAAAACTGTGAATTAAGCATTCTGGCTTATGGAGAGACTGTTCTTTGCTAGATACTGTAAGTTCTCAATACCAAAATAATATAAATCTCTAACTGCTACTGATTATTCAGACTGAAATAAAAGAGTACAATTAATATTTTTCCGGATAGTTTTTAAGAAAGTAACCAAACTGGTCACAGAATTTCTAATATTAGCAGCCATATGCTTGTGATGTATTAGTTTCTATAGAATTTCAGAACTTGTTCTGAATTCAACAATGCCAGTTGCTCATTCAATGAAATTGTGCTCATTTAAAATATACTACAAAAAGATATTTCTTCCTAAAGAATTAACGTTTCTTTTTTTGTAGGACAGAAAGGGTAACTCAGGGATGTAAATGGGAGTTTTACCAGTAACCTTCAGTGGGGCTAACATTTCACCTGACCCAGGTATTGTTTTGCAAAAAGGTTTTAGAAAGATGCAGTCTGAAATGGCCAACAAATGAAATTATGAAAAAAGGAACAGAATGGGTTTTAACTTGGTGGTGGCAGTAAAAACAGACACACACTATTTCAAATGTAACTATAGACAGCTAGTAAAAATATTGTTTTCCAGAGGGGGACACTTGAAGGTGAAACAAAGATTCTGGTTGTTTTCGGGTGTATCTTATGAGAAACAAAAGTGCTGAACTGGTTGAAGTTATTTTACTAGAAGTAAAAAAGTCGAGTCTCTCCCGAGCCAAATGCCAAGCTTGACTTCAAATGGAAAAGGCCGGATCCTTGCCGCTAAGGACCCCTATAGATCTGCATCCCAGAGCGGGAGGGAACGAAGCAACCCCCAAGACCCGTCTGCAGGCAAGGCGGGGCGCTCTCCCCAGTTCCAGCTCCTCAACCCTGGGACCGGGCCTGAAGCGCGGGCAGCCCGCGGCCAACGAAGAACCCCCTGATCCGAGCCCGCCACTCTGAGGCCAGGGACCCGGTGGTTTGGACACAACCCGGGTCTCTCTCCCTGGCGGCCAGCCAGGCCCCCGGGGCAGCGCTGCGCGCGGCAGCCGGCGCTAATGAGCTGACGGGACGGGATTCAAGAGGGCAGCGCCGGGCCGCGCGCACTCACCTTGAGTAGGTACTTGTCCACGATCTCCAGGCCGCAGCTGCTGCACAGGCACTTGCTGGGGGCGCAGCCGGGGGCCGAGGCCATGGACCGGGGCGAGGAGGAGGGGGACAGCGGCGCAGAGGAAGGGCAGGAGTCCTCGTCCCCTGCCGCCTCGGGGCTCACCTGGGGGGAGAAGAGCGAGGGGCCTGTTAGCGCGCTGGGACCGTTCCTCACCCCCCACTGCCCCGAGCACCCGGCCACGTGGAGCCGGAGGCGATGCCTGCGGGCTTCTATGGGGGGCGGTGGCAGCTCCGGCCTGACCCCACCGCGAGTGCGCCCCCGGTGCCCTAGGAGCGCGCCTGACCCCCGGGCTGGGGGCAGAAGGTTAATACCCTCCCCCCTTCTCCTCCTCCAGCCGGCCTTGAGGAGGGAGGGGGGCTCGTTACTCTAATAACTGCAATTAAAATGGCAAGGCTGCGCCGTGCCGAGCGGCCCCCGCGCTGGAGAACCCCAAAGGGAAAG